ACTGGAATATATGGAAAGAGGTGTCGGGGCTATACCATGTTGAGTATTCCCAAGTGTGTCCATTAGATAGCCCAGAGAAGGACTTGAGCCAGTGCTGAGTATAGTTCATCTGGGCCTCAGCAAGGAGCCTCACAGGGCTCTCAAACTCTAGGACCCTGGCTCGTGTCTGGCCAGATCTCTAAGTTCTCCCTTTTTTCCTGGCAGTGGGCTCTAGGGACTTAGCCTAGTTCTAGGCCCTTTTTGAACTTGCTGCCACTTGCTCTACTCCTTAGGAGTTTTACCCAGAGGCATGTAAGACATACTTTTCTTTAAAGGCTAGATTCATTTCATTTTTGTTTTTCCTTTTTTAAATTTTCTATAGAGCACATGCACTTGCCTGAGAGACCTTGGGCAAGGAGGTCAAAGAGAATGAGAAAGCAACTGGGGTGGCCCTGCTACAGTCCCATCTTCTCTGTTCTCTATTTTTTGGGCATGCACACTCAAGTGCCTGTCATGGTTTTCAAGGTGCTATGTCTGGAACTCAAACTATGCCATTGACTGGCCTAGAATTATTTCACTTTGAATCTCGTTGAGAAGCAGCAAGGATTTTCTAAAAAGACAGATTTAAAAATAAAAATCCAGGTTTCTGGGCCCACCTCTCAAAATTTCTGAATTAGGAGTAAAACCTGAGGATTTGCTATTCTATCACATATATCACATTTCTGGAACTAGTCAATGTTCTTTGCCCAGAACATTGGCCTTAATTATTTTATCATTGTTCTGTTTGTTAGTCTTAAGTCCCTTTAATCATAATTTCTCAACAGAAAAATTGAGATTTAAATCTGTGACATTTATCATATTTACTGAGCATGTGATCAGTACTTTTGTTAATCTTTAAAAATTTTTAGCCAAGTAAACTTAGTATTTCATCTTTCAATGTACATGTTTTTTAAAAACTTTGTTTTCTTCTTTCTAGGTATTTAATACGAAGTTGTTTAAAATCAAAGAAAGACACTTGTTTCTTACCTATTTAGGGAGAGCACAGTATGATCCAGCAAAACCTAACTATGTCTCTCTGGACAAGTTAGTATCTATTCCTGATGAAATATTTTGTGAAGAGATTGCAAAAGCCTCAGTACAGGATTTTGAAAAATTCTTAAAGACTCTTTAGTTTTTGATGAATGTTAAAATGTCATATTATAAAGTAAATATATATATCAATAAATGAATATATTTTATAATAAATACCACAGGTCTCCATTGGTATTAGAAATAATTTTCTTAATATTGTGTATATACACTATGCCGGATCTTTCTTACAAGTTGCTAGTAGCTCAATTCTTGTCTGACTCAGCCATTTCCTTTCTTAAGGAGAGAACTGAAAAATACAGTGAGCTTAGAGAAAGGGAGAGTTGGTTTACTGCTGACTGGCATTCTCATTCTAGCAAAAATAAGAACAGTGTAGGATTTTTCTACTCTTATATTCGTAGGTCTTTTAAAATTGTTTCATGACAAAATGGCTTTATTTTCTTTAAAGTGTTATGAGTTTCCAAAGTGTAGTACATTACTCATCTAATGTCCACTGCTCAGATAATGCTACAAGACACAATCCATTTTTGGATTATCCACTGTTGTCCTCCCACGCGCATAAATCCAGGTTGCCTAAAACTGGCTACTAAGAATCAGAAAAGGAAAAAAGGAAGTGAAGTGTAGTTACAAGATAAATAAGCAATGAGACATAATAAAAGACCATAACAAACCTTTGACTTACTGCTAATAGGCAAAGATTTACCACATGAATTGGTACTTTCTTGATGTTTTCATTTACCACACATGTTATCCTGGGCAAATGGTTCATCTCTGAGTCCTTGCTCCTTTGTCAAATGAGGCATCATGACTTTAGTTATCTGCCTTTGGATCACCAGGTTGGGTAGGCTGTTAACACTGGTGGCCCCAGTGAACACACCTAGTATTTGTTCCTTAAGTTCCTTCCCACACTGACTGAACCCATGTGATTTGGGACATAAGCAGATCCTTAATAAGCACTTGTACACAGGGACTTGTGTCCTTTACATATTTGTCATGAAACCCAGCACCCTTATGTGAAGAGATCTGGTTCTTCTACTGAAGAAGACAGAGAAAGATTCCTGCTTGAATCCTGGCTGTTCTGGCCATGCCAGCTGAACACCAGACTGAGTGAAGAGGCTCTCTTCAATATCCCAGCTAATACAGAAATGGGGAAAATTGAAATTAATCCACTAACGGGGCAGTTTGTCATGTTCCAGGGTTTTGTGGAATGCTACTGGGTTGTCAGAAAAGTCTTGCCACATTTTTTTCTATGCAAAAATGTGTCATGACTTTTCCAAAAACCTAATAGATGTCCCGAAGAAAACCTTGAGAAAAACTAAATTTATAATTCATCAGGGCCAGGTATAGTGACCTTCCTGTTACAAAGGTTATTCACTCACTCAACAGACCTAAGTTCCTCTAGTACAGAGTTGCATGGCTGTGTGCTTTCATGGTGTTTGCTGATGGATGAGCTCAATAAACAGGAGCCAAGAAAGAAGATGCTGCTGGGAAGTGGCAGGGAACCATCCTGCCTATTCTTTCTATGGTGCAGAACTTCATCTGGCTTTTATGAGAATAATCATATCAGCCAGTAGACTTCTGTGCTGCTATCATGAGCAATTCTGAAACCTCAAATGCTTTTAAGATCACCAAAGTTTCTGTCTCATACATATCTCTCTTGAGATCATAGACTATACCACATCATTAGTGGTACAAGTTGAAGAACCCGTATATCTCCACCATGACTAGAGTGTTGCCAGTCTATAGAAGGGGAAAAGAATGTGGAGGATTGCATAATGGTTATGCCACTGGACTCCCATGTAGTCAACCACAGTTCAAGTCCTGGACCTGGTGGCTTAAACTCATGTCGGGCGCATGCATGTGTGCCCAAGATCCCAAGAGGCAAATGGAGAAGGGACTGCAGTGTGGCTATCCCCTCGGGGGGGGGGGGTATGATCTCTCTCTCTCCTGGCGAGCACATGCACCCTATAACAAAAACCTAAAAAAAAACCCCAATAATGTGGAGAACTTAAACACATTTTTTTTTCTTTGCCAAAGCATCACATGGACATGTCTAAGAGAAGCTGAGAAATGCAGTCTCTACCCTATGCCAGGAGAGAAAAATACTAAAAATAATTTTGAATCAACATTAATGACTACTAGCAAACATCCAGATTCTTTAGTCTTAAAGCTTGAAGAAGCCGCAGTTTGTGACAGTGACAGTCCTGGTTAGCTAACCCTGTGATAGAAGGTCTTGGGTTCTCTTGCCACCTTCTTCACCATTTAATGAGCAAGCTGAAACTTAAAAATGAGAAAAGAGGGGCCGACAGGTGGTGTGGTGGTTAAAGGCACTGGATTCCCACATGACTGACGGCAGTTCAAGTCCTGGACCTGGAGGCTTACTTATTTTCCCTTTCTCTCTCCCCTCTCCCCCTTTCTTGTCAGATTAAAAAACAATGTTAACAAATGTAATTAAATAAGGAGGAACAAAGAAGTGTGTTGAATATCTACCCTTGGTGAAGCAATGCACCAATGTACAATGTATTCTATCAGACCTCACTTTGGCTAATGTAGGCTGGAGGCAGTCATTGGTCAATTCTTTGTGCTGCATACAGGAATAACAAGAAACAGGAAGAAAAGGAGAGGACAACGAAATTTTATTTATTTTTAAAATGTGATATAGTGCATGTGTGCTTGCTGGAGAGAGAGTGAGTGAGAAAGCATCCCCAGGGAAGAAGAAAGACCTCACTGTAATTCCTTCTTTGTGTGGTTTTGGGCACACATGCATACATACACACCTGGCATGTTTTTTCAAGCCTCCAGGTCCAGAACTTGAACCACACAGTCAATCATGTGGAATCCAGCTGCGTTAACCACTATGCCAGTAACTGACCTGACAGAATTTTATTATATTTATGTAGAGAGATTTTTTCTACAGGGTGCACGTGCTCACTGGAGGGACAGAGACAGCAAATAAATCCCACCCCTGGGGGGGAAGGGGCTGGCCCACCACAATCCCTTCTCCTCCATTCTGCTCTTGGGATTTTGGACACACACACACACACCCAGTGTGAGTTTTAAATTGCCGGGCCCAGGACTTGAACCCAGTCCACTGTATGGGAGTCCAGCGATGTAACCATTATACCTTCTGGTGGTCTCAGCCTGACAATTTTAGAACTAGTATGACTAACGCCATTAAAGAGAACTTTATGAATTACAATCAGACAGTTACTATCCTAAGTCTCAGCTTGTAGATACTGCTGGGTAGTGGTAGACACTCACCAGGAACTATACTAACCCCCAATTGTTTTCTTTTCCAGGACTTTTAAGCCTTGGAGACTTGACATGGGGCTGGGCAAACCTCTGCACTTGTTCTTCTTAAAACTGAATGTAGTGGGAGCCAGTAGTTAGCGTAATGGCTATGTCGCTGGACTCCCACGTAGTCGACCGCGGTTCTTGTCCTGGTCCCAGTGGCTTAGAACTCACACCAGGTGCATGTGCGTGTGTGCCCAAGATCCCGAGAGGAAAATGGAGGAGAAGGGATTGCGACGTGACCATCCCCCCTGGGGGGTGATTTCTCGCTTTCTGTCTCTATGTCTCTCTCTGTCTGGCGAGCACACGCGCCCTATAGCGAAAACCTCTCAAAAAAAAAAAAAATTGAATGTAGTAAATGGTATACAGCTTATATTTAGCTCTTTAAAACTTTTTTACCCTAATCTTCCGTTACAATGATTTGATATATTGTAGATCTTTAGTTGGAGAAACTGATGGCCAGGGAGGTTTCGTGTCTTTCCTGCATTAGTGCCCTTAGAATTTAAGGCGCTTTGAAGTTGTATCTGGATTCTCAGCTTCTGGAAGAAGACTCTTGATTCTGCCTGGCCATGTGCCATTGGACAAGCTATTCAACTTTTCTGAGCTTCAGTTTCCTCCTCTCCACAATGGATATAATCATAGTCCTACATCCTAGATTTAGAATTAAATGAGGATATGCTTCTAACACTGGGTGGCGCGCTGGCCTGGCACAACCGGCTCAGTTAATATCTCCCACGCTCTCGCCGGTATTAAGTAACAGAACTCAGACAAAAGCCCTGCACTCTGAATTCCTTGCTTAGCGTCTCTCCATCGTGTCACAAGGAATACCGCCCCCTCTCCCAGAGTGGCCTCATCCTGGCTGAGAGGTGCCCACAGCAGGTGTAGAGCGTCGACTGCCCCAGCTGCGCCTGCGCGGGCGGCTCTCGTCTCGTGACCTGACGTAAGGCGTCTGCGCACGGGCCTTCGCGTCCTCTAGGACTTACCCAGAAGGCAACGCTTCGCTCTCGGGTCAAAATGGCGAGCAGGTCGGCCGGTGAGTTGGTGTGCTCGCTGCTAGCGGGCATCGCTGCGCTCAGTATTTCGTTTTCACGGAAACTCGCTCTTCTTCCTCTGCTTTCTCTAAATGGTCGGATTTGCGGCGTCAGGGAAGGTGGTGGCTCCAGTCCAGTCAAAGGACGTGGTTTTCCCACCCCTTTGCTGTCCCCGGGCCGGGCTTGCCTAGGGGCTGGGATATGGACCTGCTGTTCTGGAAGGCACTCGCGGTGGCTCTGACATCCCTGGCGTTCCCGCCGCCCAGCTCGGCAGTCCTTCCCCTCGGCCTTAGGAAAGTTCAAGGCCACAGGAGATAGTGTATGACTTTGAACCGAAGTGAGCTGAGTGCTTCCTGTGAGCCAGGCGCGGTCATGGGCATTACTACCTCGATCTGTCTCGTACCGCTGCGATTGGCTTCTTTTGTGCTGGGAAGGTAACAGGCAAAGTGATGTGAGGAAATAAGTTGGCGCCTGCATTCTGCCCCTCGCATTTCTCACTGGGAATTAGAGGCAGTTGAGCAAGGAATACTGCGAAGCTTCAGGTTAACCTTGGTTTTTTCGGATCGTTAGGTTGAGCTATAGGTTTGGAGAAATTTGTATTTTTTGTAGTCACTAGGACAGGCACAGTTACTGTGGGATAGAATGCAGCAATTAGCGAATTATTTAAAATAATGTTTGCAAGTACGGTAGCCTTTTCCGTATTTCTTTCCCTTCTTCTGCTAATCACTGCCCTCTGGCGGTGTAAATTGGACTATCTTTAGAAATACTGATCTCTTTCTGTCTCTAGCAATTGTGAACCTACTAGGAAACGTCAGTTTTCAGGATAAAGCCATTAACTTAAATGACATTGAGCCTTTTGGAGATGAAGATGGAGAAGATATTTAATAATTTATTATTTCTTTAATTTGACAAATATTGAAGGAGGCTTACTGAATTCAAAACTATCTGCTGCGGGCCACATGTATCCGATGGATCTCAACTCGCACTAGGTAGCTCTGCGGGGGGTGTGATCGCTCTGTAAGCTTGCTGCTGCTTCTGCCAAATCTCAGGCTTGTTGTAAATATACTGAGCTAATGTGGGTAAAATAAGTAGGTTAATGCCTGGTACACAGTCAGTTTTCAGTGTATATCAGTGATAATCACGGGCAAATATGTTTACAGACAATTTGTCTTCTGTAAGTTTGTTTTTAGAAGCCATTTTATATGTAGCTCCTAATTTCCAAGGAGATTTCTGAAAGCCATCAAATTTGCAATGTGGTAATACTAATAAGTGGAAGAGTGGAAGGGGCTAGCCCTAGACAAAATAATGAAAGAAAAAATTTTTTTAGATATGTTGTTGTTGCTCTAGGGCAGGGAAGAGAGAGATGAAAAGAGAGAGAACGTGAAAAATCACTCCCTTGGGTGGATAGCCATGCAGCATTCTCTTCTTGGAATTTTGGACAAGTACACATACCCAGTATGTTTTTCAAACCCCCCAATCCCTGGACTTGAACCATGAGGTTGGCCATGGGAAATCCAATTGCCTTAACCACCACACCACCTGCTGGCTCATGAGAAAATTTAAACTTGCTCTGCCTCCTCTTCTGTACTATATCTATCTGCTCTGTAAACATCAGGTATTACCATGTTTTCCTTATCTCCTATTGCATTACCTCATCAGACTCAGTCCTATTCACCAGAATTTAATATTACCTTATTTCTCATCCTTTTTTTTTTTTTTTAAATTTTCCCCTTTTATTCATGATAAAGTGTGTGTACATGCACATGGGAAAGAGAGATGAGCACCCTCTCTTGGCCTAGTAATGTGGTGATACCCCTCCTTCATTCCTCTAGCCCATCAGATCTTGGACACACATCCACCTACCCAGGGGCTTCAGGCCCCCAGGGCTGGGGATTCCAGACTGTGATCACTATATGGGATCCGGCTTCTATTTGGAGCTGGCCCATCATCTTTTTAAAAAAAAAAGAATTAATTTAATTTTATTTTATTTATTTTTTCATTAGCTATAGGGCACATGTGTGTGAGAGAGAGAAAGAAAGTGAGAAAGCAAGTCCAGAATTTGAACCATAGTTGGCCATGTGGGAGTCTAGTACCTTAACCACCATGCCACCTGCTGGCACCCTGTCATCCACTTTCAATTATCCATTCTCTTAATAGAAAGTTAGCTGATTAGGAAGAGGAAAGTGGGCTTCTTTTACTAGTCCATATTAATGTTTAAATGGCAAATTATATTAAAATACATATATTTTTAAAGAGGACAGCCAATCGAAATAATGGTAATGTATAATACAAATTTTAAAGGATGGAGGTCATTTAGATTTGTCAGTATGTCTTAAAAATCTTGCCTCTGTTTTCATGCAACTCCAACTTCTTTGAAAAGAATTATTTCAGAAACTAAAATGATTGATATAGTTCAAACCCCTTTCCCATCTCTTCAATTCTGATGGTAGTGGAGGGCTGTTAGGGCCCAGGTGTTGAGAGACTGGAGTGCTAGTGATTGTGTCCATGTATCTTATTAGTTATTTGAGTTCCCTCACTTCTCCCATGACTTGGCGTCTTAATATTTTTTACCTGGAATGGACTTTTGCTCATAAATAACCAAGCTTTTTTATTTTAACCTTCAGTATATAAAGTATAACCTTTTTTTAAATGTTTGCATTCTTCAACAAGATACATGTATTTCTTTTCTTTTTTTGTGCTTTTGCCATAGGACATGTATGTTTGCTGGAGAGAGACAGGGAGAAAGTGAGAAATCACCCTCTAGAGATGACCACACTGCAGTTCCCTCTCCATTCTCCTGGGATTTTGGGCACACATGCACACTCAAATGCACCTGGAGTGAGATTCAGACCACCGAGTCTGGGACTCAAACCACAGTCAGTCATGTGGGGTTCCAGTGCCTTAACCACTATACCACCTGCTGGCCCCCAGCAACATAACGGTAAAGCTACTGCCTGCAGGCCAGCTGGTGAAGTGATGGTTAAGGCAGCTGGAGCCCTTATGGCTGACTGCACAGTTCAGGTCTCAGATCCAGCAGCTTTAGAACCATGCCAGCCATTAAACATGCCCCAAATCCTAAGAGTAGAATGGAGGAGAAGGACCATCCTCCCAGGAGGTGCTTTCTCACTTTCCTTCTCTCTCTCTCTGTCCCTCACTGACAAGTACATAAGCCCTATAAGCAAGTTAAATAAAAACTTAAAAATATATATTTCTTGCTTACCTGATTAATTCATACAGTGTAAGTAAGCTGTAGTAATAATAGTGTGGCTCTTATCAGTTTCATCATCAGGTCGGTGGCTGGATGGTATTCGAAAATGGTATTTCAATGCTGCAGGATTCAATAAACTGGGTAAGTATCTTCTGTTTTTGTTTGTTTGTTTGTTTGTTTTTCCCTTAGAGTAGTGCTTTTGCAAGAGTTACTATGGTTCAAAAACATACTTTGTTCCTATGTATATCAGAAGATTTTAAAGTTAGATCATATTTTATTGTTAAGTTAAATCTATTTCTCTTTTTTTTCTTTTCAGGGGAGAGGGATAAAATTTTCTAAAATGCTTGAGGTTGGAAATGATTTATGGTAGTAAGACACTTAACATTTTCCCTCTTCTAACTTTTCCACTTAAAATTTTTTTGTTTTAAAGAGTTATTTTATTTTACTTTTATTTATTTTAGTTTGACCAGATAGGGATAGAGAGAAAGAGTGGTTAAGGGGTGGGAGTGAGAAAGCAAGCCCCCAGGTCTAGAAGTCAAACTGCAGCCAGCCTTTTGGGAGTCCAGCATCCTTAACCACCATGCCACTCACTGGCCCCTCCACTTAAAATATGAAAATTTAAGTTATTATGAATATTGAATATAGAGATTTTTCTTTTTTTCCTTTTCTTTTTTTTTTTTTTTTTTTTGAGAAAGATTTTTGCTGTAGGTCTTGTGTGCTTGCTGGAGAGACAGAGAGACAAAAAGCGAGAAATAATCTCCCAGGGGGATGGCCACACCTCAGTACCTTCTCTATTTTCCTCTCAGGATTTGGGGCATGCGTGCACACATGCCCTGCATGAGTTTCAAGCAACCAGGTTCAGGACTTAAACCGTGGTTGGCTACATGGGTGTCTAGCGATGTAACTATTACACTATTTGCTGGTCCTGAGATTTTTCTCACATCTTTACAATTATGATTCTTGCACTTTTTTAGAACCATATAATTTGTGTTGAACTTTATCTTTTGCTATTGAAGTTTGATGGAAATTGTTACTGTCATTAAGTGGTTCCTTAGTATACTATCACTTTAAGATTCTTTAGTACCTTGATCTCAAATTTCAAGTAAAAATATGGTTTATTTATTTATTTTTTTAAAGCTTATTTATTCCATGAGAGAGGCAGGCACTCCCAAAGGATTCTCACTCCACAGCCTAGTCTTAGCTGTCCTGGATGATGGGGCCTGGTATACTCAAGGAGATTAGGGGAACAAACCCAGGACCTTGCCCCTGTGGATCTACTGTTGTGCCATCACCTGGCCCAAGATGGGGTGGCCGATAGATGTTTGACAACAGGGCAGACATTTAAAATAATTTTTAAATTAGTTTAAGTGTGAATTTTTTTCTTATGTAAGAAACCTATAATTTTAAGCAATAATGCCATTATAGGTATGAAATACATTGGGTTTCCGTTGTAACTAATGATTGGAACTCTTGATATTTCACCCCCAAGTCTTAAGTTATAAGTCATAAAGACATTAAATGTTAGAAACAAAATATTTTACTCACTAAAAATAAATCCCTGTTTTTTGAGATGCACGGTTAATCGCTGCTCTTCTTTCTTATCATAGGGTTAATGCGAGATGATACGATATACGAGAATGAAGATGTGAAGGAAGCCATAAGAAGACTTCCTGAGAACCTTTATAATGACAGGGTGTTTCGCATGAAGAGAGCCCTGGACTTGACCATGAGGCAGCAGATATTGCCTAAAGAGCAGTGGACAAAATACGAGGAGGTAGAATGACTCTTCTATGACAGTGTTGACTACTAAGGATTCAGTGTTAGAAACAAGAGAAACACTTTTATTTGTATAGTGCTGTCAAGTTCCCAGAGTTGTGTCAAACAAATACCCTTTTGAAGTTAGTAGAGCAAGTGTTAGCTCCAGTTTAGAGAAAAACACACAGACCTAGAGGTAAAGTGATTCTTCCCAAAATCACTGAGTAAGTCTCCAATATTGACAGCCAGGACTAGAATCCAAGTCTTCTGCCTAGGCCATTGCAGTTCTCCCTCTACACTCTTCTCCCTGATTGGTAAAAGAGGTTTCGATGTTCAAATGATCAGCCTGTCGTGTCCCTGCAGCTCCCACGGAGGACTTCTGTGAAGCCAACCCTTATCTCTTAAGCTGTACTGAAACTAACCTAGATCTCATAGACACATTTCTTTTTCTTTCTCTACCAAAAGCACCTTAAATACAGTATTTTTGTGGATTCTTACATTTTAAAAACAGTTCTTAGTCTGGTTGAGAATATATTTTTGAAAATTGGAAATAAAAAGCAATTAATTTTGATGGGTTTCTTTTGTGTTTAAAACCTATTGAGTGTTTGGAATATATCATTATACGATGATGAATATAATATTGTTCTTTTATTCATTTTTTAGGATAATTTCTACCTTGAACCATATCTAAAAGAGGTTATTCGGGAAAGAAAAGAGAGAGAAGAGTGGGCAAAGAAGTAACTAGAGTGCAATCGTGGATGCGGTTGTTCTTAAAGTATTTTCATGAAGTGGGGGTCGAACCTGAAAAGTTTAATTTAAAAATAATTTGGTCGGCAGGTGTATTACTTTAAATAAATGTCTATTATAAACATTGTTGGAGTTTTTTAATTCTAAACCTGGGCTTGTATCACTAACTTCACTTGTCCGTCACAGTGCTTTTAAAAAATCTGACATTTTTAGTGTTTTAATTGCTCCGTGTTGCTGAGAGGCCACTTTAGTTGGTTTTCCTCATTGATTGGGTAAGCTCTCAATTTACTGAAACAAGTAACATTTTACCAAGTAGAATAGCTTCCTTTGGATTGCTTTGTACATTAGCAGGGAACTTGGAAGCTGCATCTAATTTGCAGATATGGAATGTGGAACAATAAGCAAATAGCAGTGATTCTGTTTTTCCTGAGCAGACTGGCTCTCCTGTTTCTGTTTCAGATGCTCCTGAATGAAAAGAGAGAGGGTTCTCCCTTAGTTTTCCAAGATTAAGAAACAGCCTCTTCAACTACTGTCCTAAAGATTTGACCTTTGCATTATACCATTTAAAAAGAAATGATGTATGCACCCCAGTAGGGGTATATATTTTATATAGGTGTATTCTTGTACTAATACATAGATTTGAAAACAAAAAGTTGACATGAGAAAAATAGTCAAAAATACAAGGGCAAAAGATTCTCCCCATATTTCAGTGACTTTTCCACTTCAGAAACTTATATAGTATATTTTAAGAGTTGGATCTAATTAATTAAAAGTTTTAAGATTATAAGCTAATTTGTTTAAATAAGTATTTAGTAATGTCATCATTCTTACCCCTGAATTCTGAAATGCCTCCTTTTGTGGAAGTGAGAGCATGGAACCACAGCAGGGAAGGAACCCTATAGAACCTGTGGTTGACACTGTTCCACAGACTGTTGTGTGCAATGGGAACGTTTGGATCTAAGCCTCAAAAAACACAGCAGAATGTGAGAAATTTTGTATTACATTTTTAAAGTTTATGAAACAAATGTGAGGATATATTTGCTTTTTTCCACAACATGAAATGTCGGAAAGATGTTTATGTTTGACCTTTGCAGTATGGTCCTCAAGGTTGCCTTGATTTCAAAAGTTTTGCTAAATTATCAGGAAACCTCATTAAATTCTTAAGAGTCTCTCTTTGATATTCAGACTATGTATTTTGAGACACCTTTCCTGAAATCATTCTTGTCAGTTGTTTGGGGTTTTTTGTTGTTGTTTTTTGTCTAGTCTAAGTTATAGCATTATTTAATAATGGTTTTGTTCAGTAAAAGCATCGTAAACTTTCTCAATTTTTGGAGAAATTTTTTGCTATAGGGCACATGCACTTGCCAGAGAAACAGATAAGAGAAAAAAAGAGAGAAAGATCACCCCCGGGGGATGGCCATGCCATAATCCCTTCTCCATCTTTCCCTCGGGATTTGGGGCATGAAATCACATGCACCTGCCATGAGTTTTAAGCCATCAGTTCCAGGACTTGAACTGGGACTACACAGTCCAGCGACATAAGCACTATGTCATCTGCTGGTCCCTCAAAACAGTTCTTAAAAGTATTTTGTGATTTTTGGGAACCAGCAGTTAGCGTAATGGCTATGTCGCTGGACTCCCACGTAGTCGACCGCGGTTCGCATCCCAGACCCGGTGGCTTAAAATGTGTGTGCGTGCATGCCCAAGATCCTGAGAGGAGAATGGAGGAGAAGGGTTTGCAGCGTGACCATCGCCCCTAGGGAGTGATTTCTCGCTTTCTGTCTTTCTGTCTCTGTCTGGTGAGCGCACGCGCCCTATAGCGAAAACCTCTCACAAAAAAAAAAAAGTATTTTGTGATTTTTGAATTTGCAATCAATTTGAATTGTTGGAATCACAGAGCAACTGATAGAGGTGTTGGCAGATGCCAGTGTTAAAAGATGTTTTAATGAGGGACTATTTACAAATCAGTTGTTAAGGTAGCTATTTTTGTGTCACGGTGCTTTCCTTTCAAACTTCTAACAATAAGCAACTAAGATGAAAATTACTGGAAAATCAAGAACCATCCCACATCTCAGTGTTCCAGTTTTTTCCTCAGATCTTTTTTTAAATATATTTGAATCTTATGAATTACTGATAGGTATTATACATTTGGGAAAAAATATTTTGGCAACATGTATCAGTAACTGCCAAATTAACTTCAAAAGCAGCCAATATTTTGAGTGATTATTTTGGTTATTTTATACTAGGCCCTGTGCACTTTGTAATCATCAGTTTCACAATGCAGTGAGGTACAAATACTATGTACTTATGTGGAAACTAAGGCTTACCGAGATGAAGCAGCATGCCCAAGTTGCATCAGAGATAATATATGGCTCCAAAGCTAAACTGGAAACCTTAATGCAGTGCTATTTCATGAAAACTTCATTGTATTGCTGATAAGAGTGAACATTTGGAGCATTGTAAATTTCCAATAGGGTTTGATTAGGCTATAGTAGAAAGAAAAATTGCACTGATGAAGGTAGTTTTAAAACAAGTTTCTTATGATGCTAGGTGTAAAAGGAAAGGTATAACTAGGTAAATAAAATTCCCAAATCTTTGTTAAAGGAAAACTAAGAAAACACTAAATAGTGGCAGGAAGTATCTTTTAGTGAACAAATATTGTCTTATATTCTTCCTCTTCTCTGATATTTAATTTTTTTTTTTCTCTTTTGCACCTTTACCACCATGCCACCTGCTGGCCTCAAATTAAACATTTTAATTTATTCCCTTGACATTAAGTTATGCCTACCATTTTTTTTCTCTGACAATCTATCAATGTTGTAATAATCAAAAGAAGTTTTAATACTTGTTGGGATGTTGATGCTTCTAATATGACTTCTAATAATTTATATAGATGGCCTCCTTTAACTTTTTTTTTTCTACATTAATTCACTATACACAATCACAACACACCAATGAATTTTCCATCCAAAATACACCGTGCATTGGTTCAATCAAGCACATCAACATACATGTTCTCAGCAAATAATTTTCCAATTCTTACATCCTGCATACCTTGCCCTTTGTCTTGCCATCCCTGATTCCCCATCCCCCACCCTCTGCTATGTCCCATCTTCCTCCTCCATTGTCCCTGGCATCCATGGTTGCCCTCCATGCCTTCCGCCCCCCCTCCCATTATGAAGACAACTTTTTAAGTTTCCACATATGCATGAGAATATGGAATTTTTCTTTTTGTGCATAGCTCATTCATTTAACCTTATGTCTTCCAGGTTCATCTATGTTGCATCAAAATCTCTTTCTCTCTCTCTTTGTCTCAGTCTCACGTTAGTTTGCGATAGGGTGCGTGCACATGCCAGAGAGAGAGAGAGAGAGAGAAAGTGAGAAATCACCCTCAGGGGTGATGGTCACATCACAATCCCTTCTCCTCCCTTCTCTCCTTGGGATTCTGGGCACAAATGCACATGTACCTTGCATGTTTTCCAAACCATCGAGCCTAGAACTTGAACCACAAAGTAGGCCATGTGGGATCCAGCTGCCTTAACCACCACACTACTGGCTGGCCACAGAATTCCGTTTTTTGAATGACTGAAGAGCATTCTATTGTCATATAGGGGGCCAACAGGTGATGTGGTGGTAAAGGGTATTGGACATCCACATAGCTGATTGTGGTTGGAGTCCAATGCCTGGCCGCTTGCTTTCTCACTTTCTTTCTCTCTCACCCTCTCTTTCACT